AACACAATAATTTAGAGACTTAAACAATTTTAGAAAACCAACAAAGTGTTTTATAATATAGAAAATAAATATCCAGGATCAAAACTTTGATAAAATCTAGCATAATCATCAACCAACTTTAAATTAAAACGAGGGTTAGGCTGAAGAAGAGATCCACCAACGGCTCTTCCCTATTTTCCCATTCATAAAAGCTCATGTTAGGACCAACCCTAACTCTAAACCCTACTACCCTTAGCAACCCAAAGACCAACCCTTAGATTACTACTAAGAATAGTGCATTAAGATTTGTGGAAAACATCACCGTAACAATCTTGCAGTAACACGAAGGTTATTTAACAAAATCAATTTGAGAACCTTGATTAGCAAAAACCACTTAATGAGGCGGCCTAGGTTAATCAAGTGACACTTAGCTTCTAGAAAAGTTCGGCTATTTAAAGCACTTTGGACTTTAAAAGAATATCATTTTAAATTGGATTAGGTCGCGATCCTAATTTGACCCAACTTAAGTAAAATCAATTGAAAAATAGTTCTCAAACACCTTTGAATTAATTTAAAAGTAGCAAAAGCTTGAATTATTTTCAGATTATAAAACTTGTTGTAAAAGTTTAAACCCATAGACAGATTCAATTTTAAGCAACAAGATTCAATACTTCTTCCAAAAATTCTGGTTTCATATGTTATTTTTTACGAAATCAGACCTTAGATGACATAAAAACACAAAGAACACTCTCAAAGAATGCTTCTAAAACACAAACTTGTTCCGGAACTTGGACAGTATTGAAACCAAACATGTTTAGAAAGTTACATAATGAAAAATCAATAATGCTATCCACTGCCAGTATAAGGCAGTAAACGCATAAACCCATATTAAATTGAAAACAAACTTTGGTTTTAAATAGCCATCACAGATTCAGAACTAAGAAAAAATAAATTGGAAATATGTTCCATATAACTGAAGGAAACAAAAGAACACAAATTTGAGAAGGGAACAAGGGAATTAAGAATTCAAAACAAATTCTACTTTGACAAAACAGAAGGAAAAAAAACAGAGAAAGGGAAGGGTTTCGGATGCAAGATCCGAACCCCCCAGGGGTTATTACCCTATGCGTTGAGCTCGAGTTCTTGCTCTCGATATATGGTGGTGAAGTTCTTCGCCGCATCCCCCTCGCTTTATAGGCGCCAGGTTCATCTCTTCCTTATTGGATTTGGATTCTTGACGCTATTTTCTTGCTGCGATTAATCCAGTGTTACACAGCTGGAATTGAATTGAGAAGGAGTAGGAGTCTTCGGCTACTCTCTCACACGTTCTTTCTCTCTCTGATTTGCGTTCTTGAGAGGCGATGAGATGGTTGAGGCTCATACGACGGGTTCATCCGGGTAAAGTGGAGGGCCGGGTCAGGTAATTGAAAGTGCAGCCCAAAAACAACCTTATTTCTTCTTTTCTTCTAAATTGCTGCGGAGGCCCATTGCAAAATCTTCAGCCCATGTTTTTCAGCTCCAACAACATATCTAAACAGCTTGTCAAGGAAAATATTGGATCCAACGAAATAACATTTTAAATATACTCTAAAAATGTGTATTATGAATATATTTTGTGAATAATGCCTAGGATGCAAATATGATCATTTAAGTGTAAAAATGCACCTTTTAACTCATAAAAATACTGATTTAGTGGAGATTAAATAAAGAATCTTTTGGACTCAACAACAACCTATCTATATCCTAAGTAGGCGTGAAGTCTGCCTGCATACCCCCTCTATAGACCCGATTTTGTGTGGAATTTTTCAGGGTTTGTTGTGTTGTCGTCTAGGTCGTAGCAACTTCCTTCCTTTTTATCCTTTATTGTCTCTTTAAAAGTGATGAATATTGTTGAGAACACAACAGAGTTGGTCTCCATTTTTTAGAATGAAAAAATGGTCTCCATTTGATAATTCATCGAAGTAAATTTTTTTTATCCCTTCGCTACCAACAGTGAACCTCTGACAGTGCTATAAATATTGAATGGGCAAAACTCTTCCATATGGCTTCTCTGGTTTCTTCTTAGTGTGCCATTGCATTTGTATTGTCATTTAACCACGTGTCTTTGTCTATTGCATAATTGTCATGGCATCGCCTAGGTGTCCTGGCGGTTAGCTTCTCTTTGTCATGGTGTATTGCCTAGCCTTATTTTCGCATACCTTGCCTCGCCTAGGTGTCCAGGCATCGCCTTTTGAAAATCCTTTATGCCTTTAGTCTGTTACTTTTTTCATACTCAGTATTTACTTTGCACTAAGAAGTCGCTTATTGTGTTTTAATCATATTTCATATTCTTCTTTTTTTCATATCATAGTGTGTTTAGAATTTTTAGAAGTATGTGCATTTGAATACCTGTTTTGTTATGTGTTGCCGCCTAGGCGGTTGCCTAGCTGTCTTGGCGTCATGGTGGTACACTGGCGCCTTGCCTTGCCTTGGCGCTGTGACAACTATGGTCTATTGTTGTCTTTTGATTGGATTCACCTAGAACCTTTTGCATACTCTACGTGTTCCAATTGTTATTTTTATCTAACTGGTATTTACATCATCTTCTTGAGCTCCTCCAACTACTTTCTATATGAATGGTTTGACATTACATTCTTTAATCTCTTCTATTTAATAAGTAGTGTTTACATACATTAGAAAAAAATAATTTTTCTCGGGTATCCATCAATAAATTTGATGCCTGATTTGCAGTTGTTTTTTTCATTTACATTATACATCTGTGGTGTATATAAAATTTAATCATTGTATCTAAAAATTACTTGGCTTTGTATATAAGATGGCCCAGGAACAGGACTGAAATCAGTCCCAAAAGATGATCCAGTTGTCCAGGAAGCTGCAGAACATGCTGTTCATGCTATCCAGCAAAGATCCAATTCTTTAGACACTTATGAGCTTCGGGATATAGTTTGTCCAAAAGCTGAGGTATTCTATTGTTCCTGAATATCATTGATGCCTCTACAATTCTTGAAGATTTCTTACCATGTTCTATAGTGAAATAGTGGAGCTCTCTGGTTGTTTATAAGATAGCGTTTTCTTGTTCAGCCAACTGAACATTCCTATCCAGATTAAGCGTGGACACTGCATAGTGTTAATGGCTAGTTATAACATAATCAATTTATGTATTAATTGGATTAATGAACTATCAAAAAAGGCATCTACAATCTAATGACGAAGTTTTAAATTGCTGGGTTTATCTGCCGGTGGTGAAAATATTTGAGATTGCTTTTTCTTCAATGGCTTTGCACAAATTTCACCCTAAAAAACATTTGTTTAATTCATGCAACAGGTTGTCAATGATTCTGCGAAGGTTCATATGCTTATCAAAACAAAGAGGGGAAATGCCGAGGAACACTTCAATGTTGAAGTGCACAAGAGCAGCAATGGTGGTTTCAGTTTAAAATCATTTGAAAAGATCGAAACTCCGGAAAACTGATGAGTACCAACTTGTCGACCATGTGTTTTGTGTTCCATGGAACTGTTCTCTGTTGTGTTGTGTTGGTGTTTACTAATGAATAAATGCCACTTAAGTTATGCCAGTATTGTGTTATTTCTATGGAAAACACTACTTGGCCTTGAGTTGATGTTTTGAGGCAAGTCAATTGGAAAATGTCTATGGAGTAGGGGAGGATTGAGTCTTGGTTATCCGGTCTTGGACCGTCAGCTTTCCCCCCAGAAATGGCACTACCAACTGCTCTTGTCGAATGTGTTTTGTTTGTGATCCATGGAAACACACACTGTTGTGTTGTGTAAACTAATAGTAATGTAAACATGGCACTTATGTATTTGTCAATTTTGTGTTATTTCTGTGTTGTGTTCTGTACAACTAATACGTAGTAGTAATGTTAACATGGGTTATTATTATTATTACTATTATTATTACTACTATTATTATTATTATTATTTCAATTATTATTGCTTGGATTATCAATATATCTATTGTTATTATTTCTATTATTACTATTACTATTACTATTATTATTATGATTATTATAGTTATTATTATTATTACTATTCTTATTACTATTATTATTATTATTATTTTATTTTTATAATTACTACTCCGTATTATAATTAATATTTCTATTATTATAACTACTATAATAAAAATTTTAATTTTAGTTTTAATCAAATTCATATCAAATCTAAGTAGATCAAATTAGACCAGATCAAATCCAATTGATCAGATCAGAACTTCAAAAAATCAGATCAATCGACGGAATGCAACCTAGGTGAATTGGGTCTTCGTTATGACTTATGAGTCTTGGACTGTAATTTCTTTTTGTGCCTAGAAATGATAGTACCGAATATCATTTTCTTCGCTTTAACCTTTCCTGAACCCAAAATCAACTCTACAAGTGTTCAATTTCAATCATCCTTCTGCATCCTTCCATTTCTCAATTCGTCATCTAGCAATGATGAAAATTTAGACTTTTGGGCTCCCATTGCACGGCTTACCCCTGGGACAATACCGACGTATTCACGAACCGAGCTACAGATCGCGTGGTCCTTCTGCACTACGAAGTACGAATTTGTTAAACTTGAGCGTCACCTCCAGCACCATTCGTTGTAATCAAAATTTGTCGTAGTGTCTCCATTCTGCCAAGACAACTATTTTTCATTGTACACCGGAGCATCTTCACCTTTATCCTCCGTTGTGCCAAGAAAAAAGTTCAAAAACTCTTGGGAGGGGTTGCCCTATGTGAGCGTCTACCTTGGGAGGGGCTGCCATATGTGATTGGCTGTTCAGAAACTCTTGTCGTAGCTGACGACTATTGAGAGTTAGCAGCGCTATGCCTAGAGTATCTCGTTCTTCGACCAGCCAAACTCTCAATTCACAATCTCTCAGTCTTAAAACTCTCAACGAGAGCACCAATGATGGGATTTAGCCCAAAAAATATGGCGATGAAGAACAGATTTAAAAAAATAACTATCAATAATAATGATTCTTGATGTATTTCTATTAATTTGTTAATGCTTGTCCTTACTTGGTTTACGATGGAGGGTTTTCCCTCTATTTATACTACTTTACAATTACATGGGCACTCATCGTGCACATAAATCTTGGTCATTATCTCTTGTATGCCGATCGTGAAGGTTAACAGCTTAACTCCTAATCTTCCCACGACTTGGGGCTACCACGATCAACGGGAATTGGGTCTTTAGTATCCCGTTCCATACCGGCTCAACCTACTCTCTTGTTGATTGGGCCGTTTATATTTGTTTAGTGGATCCGGATATCCATCACTGTACATGCCAGACAGATCTCTATCGAGTACCAAAGAGATTATAGATTTTCTCATTGATGAGACGACCACATTAAAGGCGAGCTTTATGGACGTCTGTTGAGGCTATCATCAAGTAGTAACGCACCCAAATCATTGTGAGAGTGGACAACATATTTCACATCAAATTAGAGCATTGATATGTTATCATGCTGATGGAGAAATCCATTTTGTGATCAATGATAGTTACTCGTAATAAATCATTAATGATAGCATAACTATTTTTAAATAAATAGAAAATAAATATTAAAAATAGATTTATTGGGGTTCTGTGCTTGTGTAAAAAATGTTGTTTTGAAAAACATTTCTCCTATACTTTTCCTATATACTTCGTATGAATCATAGGGCTGGGGAAAAATGCCAAACGTACCCATAAAATATGAGGATCAAAGATTCCGAAGAGTTGTTTCGAATCAATTAGTGTGTAAGAACAGCTTCCGGCCGGTTTCCGTTATACTCCGAAGTAACTTCTTCTGACCTAGTACAATACAATGAATTTAAGGTACAGCTTCTGTACAATACAACAAGTCCCGGCAGAAAAGTCACAACATTTTTGTTAACTTCACTTAATATTCATCATCTTGTATTGAGATCCAACTCTCCCCCTCCGCGCCAGTCGCTTTGAATGCCATCTCCATTATCGGTCTCCTCATCATTCAGAAAATCATCCGACGGCTCCTTGTCATCTTTCTGTGCGTTGTTACCCCATCCATTCATCATCTCATCATTTTTGACTTCCTCGGCACCGTCATGGCCCATCACAATATTACCTCCCTGAGGCCCAGCAAGTGCACTTGCTCGAATCGGGGCCCGTGACATCATCATCATCTCCGCACGTGCTTGTGATTCAGCCCGAGCCTGCTCGGCTTGAACCATGGCTGCCATTTGCATATTGACATCGTGGCTCTCTCGCCCTGCTTTATTCCTAGCCTCCATCTCCGCCCTCAATTCCATGTAAGCCCTTCTCTCCTCTTGAGCTAGCATCTGCTCGATCTGCAGTTTCTCCTCTGTTCGGAATTCCCCTTGTTCTCTTTTTCGCGAAATGATATTGAATGCAAGCACTTGTTTCTCAAATGTGGCGGTAAACTCGGCGACTTTTGCAGAAATGTTGTGGTCCCATTGTTGAGAGCGAGAAAAAATTTGGCCTGTGGTGTCTGAATCAAGGATTTTGTCATCTTCCTCTGCTTCATAGTCGGCAACAACATGATAGGGAAGAAGCCTGTATAAGTTTAGGATACAACTATAAAAGTTATTCTCGAGAAGTACATAATGAAAAACTACATGTAGACAAAACAACCATCAGTAATGCAAATACTGCACACACACACAAAAACGGTTACTTTTATGCTAAATATTACCACTGAAGGTTATGTTCTAAATTTCCCTGCCTAAAACCTGACTAGGCGCAGGACTCCCTTTGGCCTCTTACTTTTTTCCTTCTACATTGAGCCCACATAGCCCTGCCTATGCTATGCCAGACCTATCCGGAACCGCACCTAGGCGATAAGGCAACAGCCCACAGTACCATCTGCCTAGAAGTGCTCTTAAGAGCATTGCTGGATAATGAAGTCAGTAAAAACCACGACAATCCCAAAAATGTGTTTAAAGTTGAAAATAACCCTACAAAAGGAACAACAAAATCATTCTAACCACCAGTAACTGAAGGGGAATTAAAAAGGGTATATTTTTCGATGAAACATAAAACTAGTTTAAATTAACATATTCATGCATCTTGAAACTCCTGCAACACTGCCAGCATAGCTAATCTCAAACTTTTATACCCTAATTTTCTATCTTTCTTGTTTATATAATAACAAACAATGTGTTTGGGAGAAATACTGTCAAGAACCAATCACTTTAAGGAAATAATTTGTAGGGAACAAACACAATAGAACTGGAAACTTCAAAATGAAACAATCACACTGTGGGGGATGAAACTGTCCCTTATATTGGCACATTTGGAATAATTTATTACCAAGTACCAATGGAAAAACCAAATCCATGCCTAACTGTCTTCATTTCTAGCAATTTTCCCCATTTTATCTCTACAAATCACATCTACGCATGAAAGAACATTGTATTCCATGGAGATTGGGGAAATAATAGGGTAAATTGCACGCACACACACAAACATAAAAACAAAAGAAAAGGAAAAAGAAGAGAACCTTTCGCAGGCATCTTCTATGGAAGAGAAAGGGCGCTTGAAGTCGGGGTGACAGACTCGCCAAGCGTCCTGGTAAGCCATTTGCAGCTCAGCGGGTGTCGAAGCCTGAGCCGGACGGTTAACGTTCGGCTTCTGTTGTTGTTGTTGTTGCGAAGGACTAGCGCTGGGGTTTTGCTGAATAGGGATCTGAAGAGCGGAGCTAGGGTTAGGGTTTTGTTGATTGGGATTAGGAGGCTGAATCTGAGACTGGGATTGTTGGCGGTGGAGGAAGGATTGGGGACGAAGATGCGCGTCGATGTTGGAAGGGAAGCGAGCCATGGCTTCTTGCTGCTGTTTCTGTCGTTGGATCTGTTGCAAGAGATGCTGCTGAGCTACAGCCTTGGCTTCCTCCATTTCTGCTACTGAAGGTTTTCGCAGCATCCAAAGTGTATGTATGTGAACGGGACAGAGCTCAATGGCTAGCGGACATGACAGTGCCTTCGAGACGGCATTGTCTTCTTCCTTTCTTTCCCTAATGGAGCTGTTAAGGATTTATGTAAGAATTACACTTCTCGTGCCACAATGACTACACCATCAAAACATGAGTTATTTATGATTTTAAGTTATCGTACATCCCGTTGTACGGGAAGAACCGTACAGCCGGTAATTAATTGGGACAAAGGGAGGAACTGCTATAGGAACGGCCGAATCGATCGGCCATGAAGGAGGCTGCGCGATGAGGGGGGTGGTTGGATTCCCGATCGGCGATATGCGATTTGACGAAGAAGAAGGTCCAATCGGCGACGATGAAGGTCTGATGGAGGTTGTTTGGAAGAAGATGAAGGTCTGATCCACGATCTGCTGCTTGGATATGCGAAGATCTTGTCACCGCTTCCAGTTGCTCGAGATGGTCTTCCTGCTTCCTACAGATATTTTCTTCCACTTAGGAGATTTGAACTTATGAATGAACATATGAATGATACTTTGTTTAAGAATGAGTACTAGGTTATATGAGAATGAGTACTACTGGGTTTTAGAATGAATATTATGTTATTCGTAAATGAATATTGAACAAATTTGTAAAAATGAGTACGACGTTATTTCTGAATGAACATTGTGTTATTTCAAAATGAGTACCATTTTTTCAAATGAACTATTATGCTTGTGCGAGAATGAGTACTACTTTACTTCGGAATGAATACTACACGGATGTACCTATCTCTAGGTACATCTGGATGTACCATATACACTCTCATCTAAGTAAGGGATTGACCAAAATGTCATGCCTACCCATACATACACATTGCGGGTCTGTGTCTGTAAAAAATTGGTGTACAAATAGGATACTTCATTTGGGTGTACTCTAGATTACTTTTTGAACGAAAATTCTTATTTCCCAATACTTTTTTCTTTTTATTATTCATTGA